AGCCGAGCCGAGCCGAGCCGAGCCGAGCCGAAGGCCGGCGCGCACCCACCCGCCTGCCCCGCCTCCAGCCTCAAGCACTACGAGGCGGGACGGCCACCAATAGGAAGCCGATACTCTGCATATTTCGCAAAGGTTTGTGGGAGGGATGAAAACGTCCGTAAAAAAACGTTAAAAATTTTGAGCTGTTTTAGGCCGAAGCGTTTTGTCGTTACAGAGAGGTGGTTCGTTGAATTTGTCATTGAATTTTTAGCTTTGGCGGCGTCACCATGACCTGCTAGTATCAAGGATCAGGGCCCTTATATAGCGGCGCGGGAGTAGCTGTATTCTGGATGTGAGGGCGATCTGGCTGCGACATCTGTCACCCCATTGATCGCCAGGGTTGATTCGGCTGATCTGGCTGGCTAGGGGGGGGGCCCCCTTCTCCCCCCCCCCCCCCAGGTGTCCCCTTCCTCCCTCACCGCTCCATGTGCGTCCCTCCCGAAGCTGCGCGCTCGGTCGAAGAGGACGACCTTCCCCGATAGAGGCGTACCGTTCATCGGTCAAGGGTATACGGTAGCTGCGCTCCCCTGCTAGAACCTCCAAACAAGCTCAAGGTCCATTTGTAGGAGAACGTAGGGTAGTCAAGCTTCCAAGACTGCAGACACATCCAAGTGAGGCACTGCACGGGGCAGTCTGCCATTGTTTTACGCTGCGGAACACAGACGTTTTTCCACACGCCTCCCGATGACCCCGCCTTCGCAGCGCGATGGGGAACATGTAATACGATTATATTTATTTTCGTGCTCTGTTTGATCACTTCTCCCACCTCCATCCCCACACTACAAATCCTTGAGCTCCTCACACACACCACTTACCATCTAGCACCTTTGCACTTGTAAATGCGTTATCCACCTAGTCCATCACCCTTGCAATTAATTTTAAGCCCACTTGAAGAGTCAGCAAAAGGGCTGGGTTTGTAAGTTACCAACTGCCTTCAAAGCAGGGGAAGAAGGCTGAGGCGAGGTGATACAAGACACTGAGAACAAGAGAGAAGGAGAAGAGGAGGAGAGAGACGAGACTATTTCAGTTAGAACAATGATAATCTAGTCCAACTGCCTGTCCTTCTGAGACGTCATGCACCTTCCGCTTTAATTCAGCGTTGCGGTTAGAGTTGACATCCAAGGACTACTCTGTCAGCTCTGCGCAGAGCTTGCAGTACGTTGCGGAAATGACCTGCTTAGATTCAAATCACATGGCCAATGAACTTGCAGAAAGAGTACAGCTGTCACAAGGCAGTACCCCCCCAAGAAGGCAAAGATGAGGCTTATTAAAAAAAAAAAATAACCACAACTAAACTAACAAACAAAAGCCAAACTAAAGTGCTTTTATTAAAAATTGAATAGAAGATCAAAACTCTAGTAAGTCAATATTTCTTCAAGAGTAACTTTATTCTGGGCAGGAGACTTGACACAGAAGGAATGAAACCAACATTTATAACGTTTTTGAACAAAAACACTGAATAAACAACAACTGTTATTTCTTTATTCGCTCTGACAATCCCACCCTCTCCTTCCAGGTAAGTTCAAAAATGTTCTTTCAGTATATCTTTTCCTCCTTGCATGATGAAACATCCTACTCACATCAACACCCTTATTAGATATAGAAATACCATGGAAGTGGGGTTTCTGGCTTGTTTTTTTTTCTTTTTGCTAACATCATGGCACGCACTTACACAATATTTTTACGAAGATCTGGATTACAGAGGTGAATGAGTCCACTGTCAGGCTCCTTTATCTCCAGCGGTCATTATTACATGTTATGCATAAGCCTGAGAAAACGTAAACAGTAGAATTCTAAAAATATTTTGCATAAAGATGCTGCTAAATATTAAAACACAAAATAGTAGGTTACATATGATCAATTCTCAGACATGCTGCTTGTCCAGATTTCGGTATAATAAAGACCTACATCTCTTCTGTATCTGTGCACACTGAGACAGCACAGTAAAATACACAGCTCAGTCAACTCATTCCTTACTCAAAAAGAACTTTTTCCAACATAAGTAGGAAATTGCTCAAGTAAAGGCTACAAGGTGTTGCCATTATATGTGGCTTATTTTCTGTCCCACTAAGTTAAAGCTAGCAGAAGTGATTCTGGATATCAAGATTATTAGTTTTTTTCCCAAAATAAAGGCTTTAATTTGGGAAAGGAGGAGATATGCCAAAAAAAGGTACTACTACTTTTTAAAATCTTTTCACTGGACTGACCAAAACCTGAATGCTATGGTCAAGAAAATCACTACAGGGCTGATAAAAGCTCAGAGATTACAGGCCAGGTTCAGGTTCATCCTGTATTACTTTAAACACATGAAGTAGTCCCCATCCTTAGTGGAGAGACCCAGGCGTCTCCAGAGGGCTACTGAGTTCTCAGGTGAGCCGAATCTCTCTTGAGATGATTCTCACTGACCACGGGTTTAAAGAGTCAGCTCACCACAAAGGAGCTTATGTTTAGGGGCCTGCAGTTAGGTAGGATGAACCCAAGCCTCAGCAGCCCATTCTCAGGACTTGTTCGTCTCCTGCTTCCACTAGTAGGGAACAGACTAGTTAAAATTGCCTACTTAGGTCTAGGCATACATAGGATAGGTTCAGGGTGTTCCCTCTTGAGACCAATTATTCAGTGATAAAATAAATTAAATGATATCTAGACATAAATACAGATATTTATTTCCACCAAGAGAAACAACTATCTTTCCAGTTCTAACACAAATATACATATTTCCCTTTCCACCTACCCAAAAACACCATCAGCATGTGCTTTACAAATCAAATGGCTGCTTTATTTTACTGCTGTGCATTGGCATCACTGCTTTGGAAGCAGTTGGGTATGGTTTGGAGTTAGTACTCGCTAGGAACAAATAACGGAGTAGCTGGACACATAACATGTCCTTGGCACATGTAAGTCTTACATGCGTACTTCTTTTTAATGCAGACCCTTTTGCTCCCTTTTTGTTTTGTACTATCTAGCAGTGGACTGAGTCCATAAAAGCAAACAGTGACCAGTGCTCCTCACAGTTCCCCCTGTAGCACTGAGCCAGCAGCCTACTCCAGGGTACAGTTTCCTTGAAGTCCTACACGTTCTCCATGGGAAGTACTGAGAAGCCAGCACACGTTACCAGTCTCCAGCCCACAGCGGCTGCCCCATGTGGGTCCTGGCAGATCCCATAGAGAGGATCTCACTGACACATTGGCCATTCAGCTCCTTCGAAACAGTCGGATGTTGAGAACCATACCTGTTCTGACCCCTTCAGCCAGTATTTAAGTCTCATAACTGTACAATTTGCCTTATCTGTTAATAAGATGAGCTCAGAAAGGTGAGCATTTCTGTACACTTCTGTAGGAAGATGCATTTTCAAAACACACTTCAGCTTTGGTGGTGCTGTTCCAAAACGCAGCTATGAAAGATGTTCTCCCACAGCACTGTACTGTTTTGCCTTCCTTCTGTGGAAGGAGGTGCAGGAACAGACAAATGCTGACTATGATCTACATCAGTCTTTTGCCGATGGCTGGACTCTGGCGCTCCTTTCCAGTGCAGAATTAAACCAGACTATGGGGGTATTTTCTTTTCTCTATAACCTGGTAATTCGTTTTCTCTTACAAACTTAGTTAAACCGCTCATCAAAGAGCTGTATCATTTTCTGTGAAATCAACTACAATTTTAGAACATTTTTTAGCAGGACCAGGTAAAGTCCCATCTTTTCTAGTAGAGCCTGGGGGCCTAATTTACGGAAGCTGACATATTCTTCACATTGTAAGTGAAAAAGTATTGAAGTGAAGAAGAACTGAAGTAACCTTACACTGACTCATTTCCTCTGCATTTGTCTTCCAAAGGCAATTTAAAACAGTTGTGAAAATTGTCAGCTGCATAGATATTGTTTCCTTAAACTCCACTGCTAGAGTATTAATAATACTTTGTTACTCTGAAGCCAGCTTTATAATTGTTAATACCATCTTAAATGTGTCTTCAGACCTTATATTCCCAACAACAACGAAAAAAAGAAGAAACAGAATCTGATTTTTCTCCTTAGAAATAATTGGAACATTTAAATGAATTTAAAAGAGGTAGGTCCGTAATCTATTTCATAGTGAACAATGCCAAGAAGCATCTTTAAAGCAGGACAAAAGAGTGCTATGTCCGAAAACAGGTATTCACCCTTCACCAAACAAGAAGATTCCCCAAATTTGGTAAAAGCAAAAGAATGGAGCTGGAAAGCTAGACAGCAGCCCAACAAAAACCTTTTAAAGGCAAAAATAAATTTTAAAAAAGTGCCTCCCGCTGACTTTCAGCAGTCCCTCGGTGACTGCAAAGGAGAGTTTAAGACTGTTAGTCACTCACTCCTTTGATGTCAGTACAAAGCAAGTGAGTATAGGACAACAGAAGTGTGGCATCAAGACGTGGCATCGCTAAAATTACACAGCCTCATTTAGTACATAAACTTCAGAAAATGTCTAATGAATGCCCCTTCCTCAGTACTTCTCTTCCACTGCAATATTGCACCACTTTGCTTTTTTAATCCACTTTTTTATAAAAGTTGAATCTAATAAACAAAAAGTTAAATTTTAAAAAGTCCCTTATAAAAATTTATTGTATAAAAATGCCAAACCCCCTAAGCCATATATACAAAATGTGTCAGATTTATGAAAATACCTGGACCCAATTATATAACAAAACAATTTTATACAAAAAGGTACAAGACTGCATTCAAATTAATAACAATAAAAGTAAAAAAAAACCCCAACTTCAAAATGCCGCATTCACAGAAAATCTGTTTCTTTTAAATTTACAGGTATATAAAACAGTATCCAATTGTCTCACATTAGCCACCATTTCATGGGAAACACGCACTGGTTCAGAGCATTATTTACACACATCACCGGTGAGCACCATACTTCGCAGACCAGTCAACACGCCCATGGATTGGCTGAGCTGGTGGTGGGAAAGACATTAACCTCGGTGTGCTTTTCGTAGGTGAACTGAATGATGGCTGTCCAAGATGTGGTCTTACTGACTTCAGAGAAGCATAATCTGAGGGACAAAAGAAAATGCCATGAGATAAAGGTTCAGTAAGTAGCTGCTGACATTGAACAGCAACTGGATGCAGGTCCAGATCCTTATTTCTTCAGGAAATAAGCCTCCCTTTTTAGCAGAATTTGTTGATGTGAACAACAGTGCATCTAATCCCTAAAACTTATCAGACAAGGAGTATTTGTATCATTGATTTGACAAGTGTGAATTCTGTGCCAGGTCTCACACCAACCCCTAGGTTCCACTGAAATATGCTGTGGATAAAACCACATATTTCATAAACAAAGTGAAAATAAACCAAATCCTTCTCCATATGAAGTCCTGCAAGGTTACAAACTGTAGTTCCAGTCAGTCAAATATTTACAGATAAAGTAAAGCAAAGATACTTAGTTCAGTGCTGCATATATACAGCATTACCAGAGCAAGGGACCAAGACAACTTTGGTACTATACTTACTAGAAGATGGATCCACAGCTGGTGCTAACTGAACCCTCTGCCCAGCAGAGCCTACTTCCTTCTTCAGAAATGAAGGGATATAACCACTGGTTAGACTGCTTGATCCTATGGGCCCTGAAAGAAATGGCAAGGAATGCCTGAGCTCAAAACAATGTATCTCCATACTATCAACAGATGACAAAGGTGTGCACTGATGGGTTGTATTCAAGATCAAGCCTCATCATGAACTGATGAAAACAAGAACTTCATTGCAAACATTAGAAATTCACAGATCCTATATATACCTGCATTCAGGAAACTGTCAGCATCAGACTGCATTAAAGATGAACGGAAAACAGGTACAAATTGTACTCTTAGAAGGGCAATTTCTGCTTCTCCGTGACACCTCAGCTTTTTCAAGGTTTCTCAAAGCTTTCAAAACTTAGCATTTCAGTTGCAATTATTTTGTTTGATTTTCAACACCTGGGTCCTATGAATATACTCACTGTTGACTTCTATGCAGTGAGTCTGGGGCTCTGGTGTTAGAAAAAGCTCTTACTGAAGCCCTTAAGAGTGCATCTTAACAAACTGTGACAGATTCATGTTCCAAGTTTGGAAAGTCAGCTAGAAAACTTGCCTCTAATCTGAGCAGGAACAGATCTCACTGACCTGTAGGATAAGCCATAGAAACTGGAACAAAAATAGTTATAAATAAAGCAGTCTAGAGTCATAGCGCAGATGGACAGCAAACAAGTTAGCATGCACGGATCAGATCCATTGCACATATGCCTATGACGTACTAGAGCAGTCAAGCAGTGACAAAGCGTATTGTGGGAAATGATGGCAATAAGTAAAAAAGGGAAAAATCTAACGATATCCTACACAACTACAAAAGCAGCAAAAACTTGTAGAACTTGTAGACGAGCCATGAAGGAGACGTGCTATGTATATAAAGGTTCTCATGTAGTTTAGCCATTTACAACATCTTGCCATCTTGAATCTTTAAAGAACAATTTTCTGATTAAATTACATCCAAAATTTTAAGTTTTTTATTTTTTAAACCAAGAGTTTCTAAAGGCCCAGAATGTTTCTTTGGGCCAACATTACACAGAAATTTTCTCAATCAAACATTTTCATAACAACGTATGCAAAACAAGTACTGCAGTGCAGATGTGGAACATCACATGAAAACCTGAAGCCAAGAAAGATTTAGAGAGGAAATACATAGATATAATCTAGAAACATCAACATGTTTAAGTACATCTGGTAATACCTAATGTAAAAATCTACACATTATTTACTTCAAATCAAATAAGAGGGATTAAATACCTGAAATACCAAATGCCCCAAAGACCTGAAGAAGAAAAATTGGAGAGTTTTGCTTTTTGTCTGTATTTTTTTAAAGCTACAATTATTTCACTATGTTAAACAGCATCAATTAAAAGACATGATAGATGACAGATTTTATTTGCTTTATTCACATAACAACAGTGATGTGTACGGCTAGTTCAATTTAGGCCGTATTGGGTTTATGTGGCAAGGTTTTGGTAGCAGGGTGGCTGCAGGGGTGGTTTCTGCGAGAAGATGCTGGAAGCTTCCCCTGTGTCCAACAGAGTCAATGCCAGCTGGCTCCAAGACAGACCTGCCACCGGCCAGGGCCGAACCCCTCAGTAACGGTGGTAGCACCTCTGGGATAACAGAGTTCAGAAGGGAAAAAAATACCTGCACACAGCATTTGCAGCCAGAGAGAGGAGTGAGAACATGTGCGAGGAACAGCTCTGCAGACACCAAGGTCAGTGAAGAAGGAGGGGCAGGAGATGCTCCAGGTGCTGGAGCAGAGGTTCCCCGGCAGCCCCTGGGGAAGCCCATGGTGAGGCCGGCTGTGCCCCTGCAGCCCAGGGAGGACCCCCCGCCGGAGCAGGGGGATG